ATTCTTGGGCGCATGCGGACCCGTAGTTGGGGCGTCACGGAGTGGGATTGGTTTCGAGTCAGCTTGATGCTCATAGATGATCATAGATGTATAGATTATTTGTTTCCTTCCCCTCCAAGTGACTTGGTAACTCACCTTTGCCATACAGTTTGGTGGATCTCACCACGACATACAGCAGCTACCGATCCTGAAAAAGCATGCTAGATTTTTTCAGGCCAGGCTTTCAAGTCCTCCAAGGCACTTGGCAGAGATGTACTGCTTGGGCGAGCTTGGGCTTGAGACCAACTACGAAGCAGCTGAAGAGCCCCTCGAAGAGGTGGTATACGAGTGGGTCCAGTGGTGACTTGTGGACCATGAATTGATGGACTTGTGAATCTGTATGACATTGTATGGTTACTATATATGGTTGATGATATATGATGCCCGTGAACACCTGCGGACGTGTCTCTCGGATGTGTATACAAAGGTCTCCAAAGCCTTTGACCATGGCCATGAGAGCGAAGACCTCCTACGCTTGCAACAGAGCTTGTGGCCTTAGGTGGACTAGGGAGACTGTTCGACCGCCGTGTGGACTAGGCAGAGCAATGCAGTTGGTGCATGGTTGTACACGAAAAAGTCTTGGAAAAACCCCAGGCGGTCAGAGCATATCCCCAAGTGATAGCATTATGTCATTATGTGTGTGTGTGTGTGTGTTATTTTTTCTCACTTCTATTGTTTGTGGGTCAGCACTCCTGCCCAAATCAGCGGCCTAACAACCGATGACCACTGCACTAGCTTTGCAATCCCGACACAAAACGGAACTGACAATATCAACGCAGCTTCGCAACCCTGCGTGACCGTTGCCCCGTTTCTTCAAGCAGCAGAACCACAGTTCCGGACGTGCCAAACTGCTTGAAAGGGCAACAAAATCATCTCCAGCCAAGGTAAACCTAACCGGAATTTGTAGGTCAATATGCAGAGGAGCTCCATCAGATGGGTTTTTGCACCACTTGTGTTGAGACCGTGCTCGTTTGAAATTGTTCAATGTGTTTGAGGCAGCTTCTTTGTCTCCAAATCCGTCATACTAGCAGATCCATGCACCATGAAACACTTGGGAAGAACATTCTTCCAGGAGTTCCGATGGGGTGGTTTGTGAAGTTGTGGCTGATTTACCAATAAGTTGATCATTGAAGCTTTGACCCAGTATCACACTCAGGAAGCCTTGCCAAATTCTCCTGTCAACCCAAGCCCACCAGTATTTCAGTCTATGTTCCGCAGGGCTGAAGTCACGGGCGACATGGGGAACTCACCAAAGTGATGTGTTTTGCATGGTCGTGCAAAAGAGTGATGGTTTTACCTTCCAACAGGCCCCCGTGTAGAACACCTTCACTGTTCTAAACCGCCCACTCCCCCAGATGGTGCCTTCATGACTCGAAAATTTCTCACCAAACAGAAGCCAATCCGATCTTGTATCGTTCCAAGGTCTTGATGTATATATAATTCATTTTGAACTCACGGACCTGGTTCCGAGGTCGCAATCCTCCCAACAAACTCCTCGTCGAACGAGGTTCTCGAACACCAAGTCCGGGTTCATGCTCCAAGCGCCGGGACTTCTGTTCTTTGAACAGGTGTCGGATGTGAACGAACATGTGCTTCTTCGGCTGGATCTTGAAGCGTTGGAAGCTTCAATGTTCTGAAAGCATCAGTTGCAGCAACCGCGTGGCATCTTCTAGAATCACAGCCGCGGAAGCTATCAGCGACTGTCGCTCATCTAGGCTTAGCCAAAACCCAAAGCCTGAAAAAAAAATCACATTAGATGCCTTCAAGGCATCGTAAATGGATCGAAAATACACTGCATGTTCATGACAGGGAGAGGCGGCCAACACCTCGCAAGGCTTTTCTTCCAAGTAGAGCGTCATGACAATAGTGTCGGCTCCTTTGAACCAGTTCCATAGTTCCTCACTGGACTGAGCCAAGACCAAAACTACACGTCAAACTATATGCTAAACTATTTCACCCGACCTTATTGCAAAATACAAACATTTTCACTGCGAAGACAAGAAGCTAACATTGGTCGAACTCTGATCGGTCCAGCAGCCCAGCAGCGTTCTACTTTGCCACGTTGCAGCCGTCCTGCCCAATACTCAGCCCTGGAAGGGAAAGATGATGCTGGTTGAAGTTTCGTTTAGGCAATCGGGTTGTGATTTTTCATGGGTCAGCGCGTCGCCCATGCTGCTGCAACCACAGCTGTCTTCCTTGGGAGCAAGTTTGTACCCGTCAGCTGCAATAATAGATGTATGTGCAACTCAGCGTCGCACGCCTCTTGCATTGGCTCAGTATGTCATACGAAAGTTCCGCGGTCCGCGATCGACACAAAAATCAACTCTTCACACGATCAATTTCCTCAACCTCTCGCATTTTGCGCGAATGTTCTTGGGCTTGGTGTGTTTGGTCCAATATGTCTATCAACACGAACCATGATACGTTCATGATTGCGACAGGTCACGATGCTGAGACATGTTTTGTGGCCGCAACGAAGTATGAACAGGTACCAGCCGATGCGTTCCCAAACACTTCCAAACGCTTCAACTGAACAACAAAGAGAACACACCACCGCTGCTCAAGGTTGCGAAAATTCGCATTCGGCTTCTTATCGGCAATGAGTGGCTGCTGATAACATCATTTGGCGCGGCGCTGTCGGGTGCTGCGTGTGTGATTCATTTGGTGCATTGATGTCGAAATGTGTCACATCACGGGGGGGGTGCAGCAGATGGTATCGGTTTTCCACGTTCAACTTCGCCATGTTTGAAATTTGATGACTTGGGAAACCCATCATCATGAATCATCTCAGATTGTGACATTTGTTTGTTGTTTGTTGTTTGCTTTCCTAACCTGAGGCCTCTTCAGCCACCTGGCCGACCGCTCTGAGACAAAACCACGGCTGCAGGAATTCCTCGAAAACCATACGGAGGTCTTCAGACAAGAACTACTGTTTTGACATGCAGCTGTGGCTTGGATGAAAATGATGAGATTCCCTTGTAGGATTGGTGGTTGGTGGGTGTTTTTTTAAAAGGCACTGTGTAAAAATCAGCAAACAGATGTAAAAATGGAAAGTATAGGAATGATACGGTTGGTACAGCAAAAACAAACGCCATAAACGGGTTCAGACCACTAGTGTCTACAACATAATCGTTGCTGCTTGCTGTTTGCAACCAAAAATAGTTCATGATTGTGAAAAACATTGGCATTTTGCCCTTTAGACACCACAAAATGCCTTTGGTGCAAGTCCGATATGGCTAGCACATTTGGCCTGGGTGTTCGAAATACAGTTGTTTCTTGCCATATACATTTGGAACACCTGATCCCTCTCTATACATGTCTCACAATCTGTGCCAAAACAATGACAAAGTATAAACATCCCAGTCCTATCCAGTAGACTGTATAGCAGGATCGAAACATATTTATACATCTGGATGGGTAAAGAATTGCCCAACCACAGTCATGTATTTAGGTTTGCTATAGGTGTTTGAGAGGAACATCACCAGAACATCATGCCCTTCCAAAGCTTTCCGATCTGTTTGCAGGCCACCACCGACGCACGGAAGTAGACGGCATGGCCCCTTTGAAGTATTTTTTTGTTAGACCAAACAGCGGTTGAACTCCACTTGGTTGTGATGTCTTTGGAAGGGTGTATTGTCAAACATGGTTCTTTAAGAAAAAGTTGTTGAGCAGTGTTTGTGAGTAGGCGAGGTATATAATCATGGGGTGTTTTTGTACTTCCATGTTAGTAGTTGGGCTGCAGTGGGATTTACTGTAGAGTTTCCCAGACAAAGCACTCGGGGCATCTCAGGGGTATCCTCAATTCATGTATTAATTGAGTGGGGCCCCCACTAGGGCTCCATCCAACGTAGAGGTCATCAAGAATGGTACCAACCCCACATTCCAGGTCTAGCTGCCCTTCACCAGCAGACCGCCGGACGCGGGGCGACGGACGAAAAGGACGCGTTGTGGCATGGGTCACGTGTTCTGCGGGGGGCACGTGGAGGGACGGAGAGTACCACTGTCAGTGGTTGCTGGTTTGAGGATGATGTTTTCATACACGTTTGGAGGGTGACCAGTTACCAGTAGTCTCTGACCTCATTCAACGTGTGCTATTGTAATTTAGCCAGAACAATCCTCGATGCTGGTCGTCTCGTCCTTTTTGTGACTATTGAGGAAGCTGCACCAAACAGCTCTTGAGGAAGTAGATGCAAATAGTCAGTGATGGCATCTATATGTACCATGATCACCGCCGATCCTGCAATTCCCAAGCACAGGCAGGACATGGGTTCTTCCGCCATTTTGCCCAGCTGGAAGAGCCAAACCGTTTCGAGGACACCACGACACTCCCGGTGAAACAGAGCGAGACGCGCTGCGTCTCGCTGCACCGGTACCGTAGCACTTGCAGCACGCTGGGTACCGGGCACTTCACCGCAGAAAAACGATGGGACTCGCTATGTTTCGCTCTATCGCATCTCGGGAAGAACATGCACCTTCACAAGCTGGAGCTCCCATCGTGCCGGAGTTCCTGGCATGATGATAGCCCAAAGAGCCAACGTTCACATGTGAGAGATGCTTCGGTGTTCCGCATGACTGCCGAAGTTGAATGGTCCGAGTCGGGTGCTTTCATGAAGAGTACTGGTCCACTGGTCCCATCTCGTCCATGTCGGTGACGCGAGTGTCTCGGGCCACAGGGCCTGGCGCCCTTCGGTTTCAGACCGGGACCACAAAGGGTTTGCCGTCGATCTCCGGTTCGGAGGAGTGTCTCAGGTTCGGAAACGCTCAGGTTCCTGGTGAAAGAATTCCATTTTTGATGGTCCAAATGAGGTCCCAGGTCCCAGATGGTCCCAGGTCAATTTCACATGTATTCTTAGGTTTCTGCTGTAAGTAACGCAAGTAACGCTGGCCTTCTTGCGCTCCAAGCTTGTGAAGCTTCTCATGTTTATATAACCCTTTTGAGCGTCCAAAAATGGTCGACGCAGGTGCAGCGGGAGCAGCTGAGAACCTGTGAGGCCACTCCTCCTGAGATGGAGCCACTTGGAAGCAACACGAAGCTGGGGGACCTTGTTGGTGAAGAGCAGGATTTCTCATCCCTGGAGCTGGTGGAGGCAGCGAATCGGAATCCTTCCGACCCGAAAGGACCAAACTCGATCGGAAGAAAGAGTTGGCTGGATCTCATCATGCAGGTTCTGCAGGTTCCCTAATTACTCCCTATACCCAGTCCCACGGACCAAGTGTCAGAACCCCCAACAAAACTCCTGCGCTTTCGGATAGCTAGAGCAGCTAAAAAAGGAGCTATTGGGTTCTTACTTCAAGTATAGGAAGCAGGTGCCACCTGAATTACTTGACCTTCTCTTGGTGCCGTGCCGGTCGCCGTGCGGTGCTGCCCGGACTGAGGGTCCTCTCGCGGAAGTGCTTTGCCTCGGACTTCAAGCCACCCGGAGGAGAAAGGCATGGTGAGAAGGGCACGGTGATTGAAAGGTGGGAAGGGTTGGTGATGGTCTTTGAGAAAGGAGTCTGTGGTGCTTGGTAATTCTTTCTTGGTTTGAGTGGTGGTTGAGATTTTTTGGTAGTGATCTAGAGGTTGAGATGGATTGAGATTTTTGGTACTGATCGTTACTGCCGATCGGTTGAGATCGCTGATGATTTGGTTTGGATGGATTGGGATGAGTCGAAGGGAGATGATGTTAGGGGTCACTTTTGAGGGCCTGACATTTGTGGTGCTGCTGGTGATGCTGCAATGATAAGTAGATAGACATTATGTAAAACATGTAATTGCAGCATATAATAGACCATCATATATATATATATAACTCTTGATCGTTGCGCTGATTTGATGGGAATGCAGCCCATCATGCCCATCCCTTGTTTTCCTCTGACTACGAGCTCGTACTGCAACCTCTACAATTACCTGGAAACCATCCCCATTTTAGATCATAATATTGGGATATATTGTGCATATGATGTTCGATCATAGAGTCATAGAGTGTTTCCTCAGGGCAGTGCTCCGCAAAACCCACGAACGTGCTCCGTGGACTCCGACCGCCCAGGACTTGGTTGGAGTCCAAGGGCGAACGCTACCCTGTGAAGCCGTTGGAGCTCAGAAAGCAGAGAAAGCTCGGAGAAGGAGGGGGGGGCTTGGTGTGTTCAGTGTATGCGTAATTCTTAGAGAAAAAGGGACATGACATGGTTGTGGTTTAAAGGATGAATCAGATGAATGACTTCAGCACGGAGTTTTAATATGAAGCATGTCCATGTGTTGTTTCTGTTGATCAGTCAAACCAGTTAAGTGAAAGGCCATGGTCGTTGACCTTTGACCAGTAGGTTTGTAGCATTGAATGATACTATATTGTATTCGTTCCCGAAAGGAGCCCCTCTGATATGAGTAGTGTGGAGGCAAAGGTGGTTCTCTATTGGCAGGGTGACCAATCATTATATGAGGAAACTATCCTGCACCAACCACCTTCACACCAGAATGGCACCATGTAACACCTACAAAATGCTTTTGGAGCATTGTCTTCAATTGCATTGGGCAGGTTGCGGGAGATGGGTCACCTCCACTGTCCAATGTCTTCAGACTAGGTCTTGGACCAAGCCTCACTCCAGTCCCACCTCACTTCCCATGGAACCAAGTGGTGGTCTCGAGGGTTTCTGGTTGCTGGCCCAACCGAGCGGGCAACCACTAGCACAGTGCCAAGCACGTCAAAATATATCTCCAAATGCCAGAAAGGGATGGAAAGGAGGTGCGAACCACTCAACGAATTTGGTTCCCTCTTCTACGTAGCTTCTTGCTCCTCATCCACAATTGCTGGAAGAACCTGCCAAAAAACGAGTGTAAACATAGATATATAATAAACATCGCTGGTGGTGCTTTTTTATCCGGCTTTCTGAAGTCCTTTTCTTCTTCAATAAGTTGGTGCTTTTCTCATCCCAATTTGCTTCCCCTTTGGTTGGGCTCGCTGTGGGATTCGCTCTGCATCCCCCGAGGTCCGAGCTCTATGCCGAGCGGCTCCAGGAGTTCGCTGAAGAGCATGGCCGGGAGAAGGAGTGGAGAGCAATCCTTCGAGCACGGACGGAAGAATTCCCTTTCAGGATCCGCAGAGTGTTTTGATTCACCTAAGTCAGATCCTGACACACCTGCTGGTTTGAGGCATGTGTTCTTTCTAGTTTTTAGTTGGGGGGTTAGCTGAGGAGGTGCATCCTATCTTGAGCGCCAGTAGAGTGGTGTCCCAATATTGCATGGAGGGCAAGGGCCATCAATGAAGAAGCCGTCATCCATCAAACTTCCAACTAGCGGAACTAGCGCCGTCCATCTCCGGAGCGCTGCCACCACACCTGCGCTCCGCACGCGTCCTCCGGGCCGCCGTCGCGCAGTACTTCTGGCGAGCGCCCACGGGAGGCATCGGATGACGCGGAGTGCGGGGGAAAGGAGTCCAGGGAGGTTAAACAGTGGTGGAGAGGAAAGGATACTTTATGATTCATAACAAAGGTTCATGGCACGAAGGTTATGACTATAGCCTATAGTATAGCCTAGAATCTCCAATCTGAGTGACACTTGAAGTTGGGGTTGGAGGTGAAAACAGACAGAATGCCGTCCTGATGTGTGGTTTGTGGGCATAGCAATGACGCAAAATGGGTGTAGTGTTTATTAATGTGTGTGCATGTGCAGGTGAATGTTAAGCATGTTAAGCCATTGGACATTGAGCCAGATTTCATGTGAATTCGAGCATCAGTCTCACCCAAATGCCAAACAAGTTTGTGTTGTCCAGCTGGAGCTAGGTCCAGGTACAAGTCTTGGGGGGTCGTCGATCGCACCGTTTTCTCCTTTCTTCTTCACCCCCCCTCAGGGCTCCCAGAACAGCCTCCCGCTCAGGGCTGGCGGGCACTGTGGCACGCCTGCGTGTGCCCAGAGATACCCCGCGGCAGCAGCTCCAGGAAGGTGACACGGTGCACCGTGGCGGGGTTTACCAAAGGGCTTTCCGCCCTAGGCAACGTTGAGGGACGCTAGCCCTTTTGGCATGCGCAAAAGGGGCATTCATGCCTGGTGGTCACACTTCTAGACTAAGTGCATGGGATTGGCATGAACATCTCAAGATTTGTCCAACGCCCCTGACTACTTGGGAGGTGCTCCAAGATGATACGGTGTGATTTGATCCCATAACCATATGATTGCTATGGCCGGTAGGTCGCGATCCTACGTCGTTTTGCATGGGATCTTGCAAAAGTGAACGCAACTTTGGGGCCAAGAATAGCCTCATCCAGCAAGCATAGCATAGTTGTTCTGAGCTTGGTCGAGTGAGTGTTTCTGTGTTGCTAGCTGTTAGATACACCTAGATAACGATTTAGGAGTCTCAGCAGATACAGTACTTCTACGAATCCATTGAGTGTGAGGTTCTGGTTCTTAGAGCCGCGTTGAGGAATTCAGGTTGAGTCACTCTCTACCAGGTGCCATTATTAATCATCGATTACTGTATCCTTATCACGAGTTTCCCGCGTTGGTCGAAGCCGCCAGCGTGGAGCCTCAAAAGATCAACCTGCCAACCATGGCAGGTTGGCAGCACTACATGTCCTTGAGGACTCTCTTCGGGGTTGGTCGGCAGCGCGCCCACAAGCCTGCGCACAACTGGGGCCAGTCTTTTGAAAGAGATGGGCTTGACTTAGGGCGTGTCTCAAGAAACCAGTCAGAGGAAGATACAGGAAGGGAAAAGTCAGCAACCCAGGCATCGTCATCACTGGGCCTAAGGTTTGTATTATTGAGGGTTTTGTGAACCCATTTTGTTTGTGGCCAAACTTGCACATAATGTACCCCCCCGACGTGTCCCTCACAATTGTGTAAAGCTTTGCAAGCTCACTTGTTGCAAGGTAAGGAACCCCTTGTCACTCAAGGATGACTATGTGTTATTATCTCAGTGCAAGCTGCGCAGCAAGTAATCTGACCACTTGGCTTTTCAATACTTGCGTAGAACCCCCCTGCACGGCTGATTGAGCACAACGAGAGGAGTGAGTCTTTGATTGTAGGGATGGTGCCTTGTGTGGGTGTACGCGACTGGTATATTTGAAAAAACCGACTATTTCAATATCACCTCTCAACACAAACCCGACCAACAGCACAAGACCCTCCCCAAAAGAAAAGGACGTGTTCATGCAGTTTGATGTTACCTTTTTGTTGCTTCCATACAACGAGAAGATTGAACATGGTTGAACTATTGTTGGGACAGTATGACCTCTCAACACTACAAACCAAACCAGCATAAGCCCCTTCCCCCCCAAAAAGGTTTAAAAAGAAAAGAGTAAAAACACACACATTACATTACGTCACCTTCCAACTCCTACATCTATACGGCTTGATCCTCCAACTCCTACATCTTATACAGCTTGATCATGGCTTGATATGGTTAAACAAAAACTCCTTCATCCTTTCGTCGCCCCCTAGGAGGATGGCCCCTTGGCGCTCCCAAGCCTGGACGGCCTTGGAAGCCATCACCGAGGCGGCGTGTCGCGCCGCTCTGCGTCGCGGAGCGGCGAACCGCGTCGCCGTGCTCGGAGAGCGGTGCACCTCGGGTGACGTGCGTTCGGGTCTGGTGGCAGGAAGTTGGTGAAAGGAATCAAGGCCTATACCGTGTAATTAGGCCTCGTCTCCATATAGGTGTTCCGTAATGGAGTGGGTTCTTTGGAGTTTGGGAAAAAGGCAGGTTGAGTTTCAGTTTCATGTGGCATCGTGTTGGGTGTTGTCCAACATGTTTTGTTTGCCACAGTCGTTAGATTTGACAAGTGGTCGACATGAACATTCAAGTCCAATCTGAAAGATCTATTGTATAGCGTCAAGCAAGTTTTGACTGACCTTAGTAGCCTTAGCAGCAGGAAGTGGATCCTTTACAAACCATATTCATCAGGACACCTCTTGGATCATGAAGGTTGAAAATCAGACGCAGGACGTAGGTCCACACTAGATACGGTAACTCAGGACCACACAGCAATTGCCATTCTTTGGCTGCGGGATCCTTGCTGTTGAAAGTAAACACCCAGCTCTTAAGAGGGAGGCACATTGTAAAACCAGGACCATAGAGGTTGTCAAGTGGACAACAGCAGAGGCGGATCCTGTTTACTTCTGGTCAGCATAGTCCTCCATGGGCAGATCTCGCCTCTGGTGACCAGTCGGGCGTGTAGCCAGGAAGAGGAACTTCAGCTCCTGCAGGCTGCGCAACATGCGGAGCATTTTGGCGCCATTTTCGGCGCAAAGGACTTCGCAGCGAGTAAAGCCCGCGAAAGCTTGGAGGAAAGTAGCAAGGCTTAATTGAATGGAAACAATACCTAAGACCAGAAGGGACAAAACGCGGTGTTTACGGTGTTTTGGTGATGCCAAAAATTGGTGCAAGGAGCTCTTGACAAACAAGGTTTGGCTTGTCAATGGCCCCAGTTTGACACTGATAATTTGCTAAATTAATGCTCTGCCAGATTTGATCCACTGACTATAGTGCGGCATGGCCGTGAAATAAGTGGATCATGTAGCAACAGCTTCGAAACCTGTTTGGGCACCACCGCAAATGCCAAGCTTCTGTTGATGGGCAAAAAACACATGATAAAAGGATGCGCAATCCGAGGGACACAGTTAGTGACATGACATGAAATGTCCATCATTCCCAGCTGTTTCAACAGTACCATGAACTCCTGCTTCAGTATGGCCCATGGCTACCCAGTTCAGAGGATGCATTCAGCCCGATTCATGTGTGAAGCAGTCCTATGCAGTCCTGCATCCTATTAAGTAGCTCATTGGTTCCACCATTTGACCGACCACTCCTGCGAGGCGGCGACCAACGAGGTGGCGCTGCTCTTGGTGATGATGCTGGCGCTCTGGACGTGCCTCGGATAGGGTCTGTTTGACCTGAACGCATCGTGTTTTTTTTTTTTTCAGAACTCAGTGTCACTGGAGATCACTGGAGTGTTGGGCAAAGGTGGTGCCACCCAAGCAGTTCCCAGCTTCCAGGCTTATTGCTGAGCAAAACAGTCAAAACTTGGCAAACCTGTTGTGGGGAGGAGTGCTTCCCTTCCAAGAAAACTGAAGAGGTGCAGTCGGTTCACTTCAGTTCAGCTCGTTTCTTCCCAGCAAGGAAAAAGAATAGCTCCAAAACGCTTCGTGCCCTGCAGGGACCTGAAGCTCCTTGCAGTCTTTCCTTGCAGGTGCCTTTTCACCTTCAGTCTCCGCATGGCCCTCGCCGGTGCCTGCGCTGGGGGGTCCGGTGCCTCAGTGGCGGAAAGAGAGACTCTACGTGGGCTGCTGCCTTCGTTAAGACCGGTGTTAGGGGTATTGTGATTGGGATCTAGTGTTAGTGTTAGGGGATGTTATAGGGGTATGTTGTGTCATTTTGTGATTAGGGGTTAGGGTTCGATGGACTTTGCTGGGTTGTGGTCATCAAGCTTGAGTGCTGAACGGAAGAGCTCATGTTTACAAACCCTTCAGTGTCTTGCAAATCATGTGCAACACGAAAAACTCAGACAAGATGGGGTTGCTGGTCATGGAAGATGGAGGTTCATATATATATATATATATAGGTTCACGAGGCTCAAGGCATTTGAGGATTCCTTGACTTTTGCGTTCGGAACCCGCTTGTCTCAGGTTCGGCATCCTCATGTTCTTCCTTTGCCAACCTTTTGGGCCCCAGGCCCTCGAACGGACCGGTGGTGGGAACATGTGTGTGACGCAGTGCCTTGGGTGAAAGAGATCCAACAAGAGGGTTGCTGAAGTGTTCATTTCCAGTAGCTCCAACAGCTGCGGCGTACACGACTACACCACCGCTTTACTGCAGCTGCATAGGTGCACCACGAGTTTCAGATGCTGAGGGACTGAAGGAGCTTCCGACAGAGAAGGCAGAGCCGATCACCAGGTACTTGATTGACGGAACAGGCAGAGCCGAGCGCAGCAGCACACACCCACCGTCATCATAGAGAAGGTAGAGCCTGTTCCGCGCTACACCACGCTCACTTGGCCGGTGTATCATCGAAAGACACAGCAAGAGAGAGTTGGACCTGTAAGATGGATGAGTCGTGAGTCGTGACTATATATAGATCGTTGCATCAGCTGTGGGCAACTATAACACTATGGTGATCTTCATGGAAGAGCATGGAGCATTGTTGGCGGCCGCACTAATGAAGATGCCTGGGAGTGATATCATGTTCACCTTCTGTCAGAGACAAGGTGCAATTATCATTAACCAGTACGATGAGTACAATGAGCCCACAAGTTTTTGCAGAGCTCTTCATTTGGATGAGTTGACATGACTAGTTATTGGTGTTCAGCACAATGGTATTGAGCACATTGATACAACTGGTATTGACCATGAGCGCAACATCATTGATACCATTGACTAGTCAGCTCAATCCTACACTGGATACGTCATTTCCAGCGAGACGTCAGCGGTCAAGGAGTCACCCGACTACAGCTATCGCGGCCATAGCACCACCTATGAGTGAGTTAGGCAAGTGAAACCCAGCCCTCCTAAGTGAGTGAAGATGAGTACACCAATACCTTTTTGTGGTTTAACCAGGGCATGAAATCCTAAACATCTAGCAGAAAAAGCTTAATATCATTTACTACATATCCATTTATACAGTGCCAATGTTTCAAATGATGCTTTTTGTCCAAGCGAGTAGAGCACCTCGTGCACCTCAGTCGGCGGCCCTGCAGCTGCTGTGCCTCTTGCTGCTGGTGACCACCCTGGTCGGTGGGCTCAGTCGTTACGGACAAGTGTTTGGTTGAGGTTCTGGTTCCTTTAAGCGCACCTTTAGGAGGAAGGCCCTGAGGAGTTTCCAAGACTTGTGCCTGTCTTTCATTTGTTTGTATAAGCAAGATGTGTTCCTGGTGCCTCATTGGGGTGCTGCCCTGTGCCTTTCTTCTGTTGGAAGGAGTATTGCAAGCATGGAGCTGTCGGGAAGCAGACAGTCTAGGTTAGCCAGTTCCATGTGGTTGTTCTCGAATTTGCCTCGATACCTTCAGGCTGAAAGGTTTTAATGCTTTGCACACAGTCCTTGGACCTGGCTTGCAATACACAGCAAGCAGAAGAGTTGTGCAATCCTGGGATGAAGATAGGATTGTCATGGAGATGTACCAACGGAATAAGTAACCTTTCTTTTTGCATGCTGGTACCAATCGAACGAGTCATCCTGCTTTAGCACCACATGTACCGCATCATACCTTCAGGTCCACCCGGTGCCACCACAGAGTTTGAGGAGATCCACATGTTCCAAAGGGGTGCCTGTTGGAGGATAGAGATGCCCAGAAGATCCGCTCACTTGGTAACTTAAAAACCACCCCCTTTGTGATCCTGGCACAGTGATATTGCTTTGCCCAACCGGGCAGACCAGGGAAATCCCAATGAGGATGGGTTGACGACCTCCCTTGTGCAGGTTACGAACGTGAGACACGAATCGCTTTAAGAGAAATGGATCCTTTCGACGCTCAAGAACAGTTTTTATTGTGTTAGAAGCTTAAATAATCTTTAGGTTTTATGTTTTATAGGTGTTTCACGGTGGTTTTCAGGCAAGAGAAGCATTGGTCTCTCCACGCAAATTGCTGCAGTTCCCTAGGTCGCGCCGGCTTCGCGCTTTCTCTTCTTCTACAGTGGCGCACGCAACGGCCGGGGCGTCCCACGCAGTGCAGCTGTAGCCGATGGAAGCAAGTCAAACAGATCTAACATGGTGGCTGGTTTAGCTGCTTGCACAGGAAGCAGTTAGCCTTATAGCCGGCCTTAGCAAACAATCTACAGCCAAACAGTTCAACGGACTTTACTGTGTAGTGGTTTGGTCCAACATGCTCACAGCAGCAGCCAAACTCTGCACCGTTCGCCAGCTTTTTGGTTGCTTTGCTTGCGCTCCAGGTCCCAGCAAGCGCGTGAAGAACGAGAAGAGCACCTCCTTCGAGATAGAGGAGAGCGCATTGTTGAAGCTCGAAAACCTATGCAGATGGGAAGCCCGACTAGGCGCCAATTCCTCCACGCAAAGACGCGTCCAGTCTATTCTATTAAGTTTGAAGGTACACTCACTAACCTCAACCACGAATTAATCGAAGGATGTTGAGATTGTGCGTTTGAATTTGGTGGGTGGCTGGGATTTCTGATTGGACCAGAGATGAGTCGCATGTTGCGAGCAAAAGATGGAGCTGTCGATTCCCTAAAATGGGTACTGGGGCTTGGACAAAAGACCACGCAGGACATCAATTACCGCTCCAGAAACTACAACACCGACTCACTAACATGGAAGTGGAAAAGGGTCCGTTGGAAGACTACCTGTCCTCTACCAACAGGGATTTCATCAGTTCAGTTTATATTTTTGGTCGGTGTACTGACTCCTCAGATAGACCGCCACACAGCGTCCTGGTTGATTGCTCAACTGTATGTGTGTGTGTGTGTGTTCTTGATCGGCCTGTAGGATTAACAAGATTGAGCCTGGCCTGAGAGCCTGAGAGCTGTAACCCTGATTGTTTAATATTATGTTTAAACATGAAGCGGACCGAGTTGGGAATCATCAACAAAACTTAGACTAATATTGTTATTGTTATTTATTGCATCTCTGGTGTAATTCAAGTTTTGCATGCATCATGTCTATTCCTTCTGATCAAGTCTGCAGGAGGATGCAGCCCAAGAGCCAAAGGAAGTGCGACAGGTGCGGGGTGATCAGCATGCGTTTGCGATGCGGGCTGCAAACATGCTGGCTGGCAGAATGTGCGCTGGGATGGTTGGCGAACCTGTGAAATCCGAGGAACTTTCCTTGAGGCTCTCCGCGGAAAGGATTTTTGGGAGAAGTTAGGTTGGAAACAAAAGACATGGCCCTGTCGTTCCATTTGTGTATCTCCATATCTTCTACTCCAGTCCAGGTATTCTTCTGTTTCGGCTTGTGTATTACCCCTGAACCATGTAGTACTGGCTAGTACTCGTACCTCCTTGGTATTTGCGGGCAATCAATCTGAGCGACCCAACGCATGGCCAGTGGCTTCTGACGCCCACAGGAGGCGATACCACGGAGTCAGCCGGGGGGGCCCAATGGGAGCATGGCGAGTCGATGAAGAAAACAACTGTCTTTGTATATGCCCTATATGGATCCACTGTCACCTGAAGGGTTGAGGTTTCCGTGCTTGAATGGGTCCAGGTCTGATACCTGTTTGGAATACGTTTTTGGAATTTGTCGCTTTTTGGTTCCGCGCTTGTTCTTCGTGTTGTTTTTGTTGCTCTTCGACTCTTCGAGGACGCAACGCTTCGTGAGCCTGGCCGCGGAGGATCCGCAACTGGGATCGGCGTGGGTTGTTATGAAGAGCTCCACAGTGGTGGGATGGCCAAAGAGCCGGTGGTAGGGATGTTTTCAGCACAGAGGGGCGCCTTAGTGAGGCTATCAGGGAATTTGTGAACCACTTCTTAGTGAGGTATACCGGTATATAGGCTTCAAAGATTGTCGTTGAGCCATGGGAAACAATAACGTTATGAGTAGCCATGTTTGGAAGCAATAATTTAGACAAATAAATTGTCCTGCAACTTGTTGAGGGTCAGTTGGGGGGTCATTGCATACTTCAGGTGACACGACACAATATTTAGACTGTGCAGCACGGTGAGTGAAAAGTGAACTATACAAACAATATGATGGTAAAGATATGTAAAGATAAGGTGAAGCTACAGCTTCCATGACAAAGAGCCACAGATGACAAACTGAAAATGGATGGCAGTGGTTCACTCAATATCACTGGCCTTCTAAAGTTGACTGTATCACTAATGACCAACCTGACTTCACATGACTTCACAACAAGTTGAGCATTTGTGTTTGCACGTTAGTCATTGGAGGGGAGGCTGTACGAATCTCACGGAACCGAATTGGGCTCATAGGTTGGAGCCTGAGTCGTGGTCTCCAAAATCTGAACCTTTATGTGCTATCAGCAGCTGTATAGTTCTTAGCTGATCCCAACAATGCACCGGGGACACGTCGAGAGGACATTGAACACCAGACGTTGAGGTCAAGGGTCAACTGAATGTGTGGCGGTTTTGGAGCAACACAACTAAGGCAGCTGCAAAAAGAGAAGGAGGAACAACAACGACGTGCACAGGCAGCTGGTCCTCTAGAGCAGTTTATGGAAGGAATTCCAGTGACCATGAAGCAAATCAAAACTCCTCTCGTTGAGTCTGAGCTTTTGACCCCTAGTTGGCTCTTCACACAAGAGGCATCAAAGACCTCCGAGAGACTGGACCAATTTACTTGCCTTTGTAGCCTGCTTCGGCTCAGAAAATTCTGCCGCCACGTGGCTTTGCTGTGACAGATTAGCCAGCACGCAAGATCTGTCAGTTGTTTTGGGCAGAAGGAATCAATTCATCCAAAGCCTGGGTTGCTTCTAAGTCTAACCACTTGGCTGGCGGTTTGGAATACATGTTGATACATGTGTTTTGTTTAGTCACTATATATGCTCACTGAAATGGTGGTTGTCCATCCTAGTCACTGCACTATCGCACTCAGTAGTGGTGTGGAATGGTAAGCTACACCTTGTATCCCAATGATGTTGTTGCATTATGGAATGGCCTAAACAACTGATCACTTAGCAAGCAGTTCCTATCCTCATGCTGCCGGCGGATTTGCTGCCAAAGGTGCTCGCCTTCGCGCCGTTAGATCTGCCAATCCTGTCGTCCGTGAGGGCGGTGAGCCGAGGCGCCAAAGGATGTGTCGAAGCTCAATGGTGGAAGGACAAGGCGAAGTATTTCAAAGCCTTTGTGGATGAACATGCCAATCTATTTGCGGATGATCCAGAGATGGAGGAAGAAGAGGAAGATCATCCAGAGATGGAGGAAGAACATGAAGATATGACCATTGAAGAGCAGCAAGAAGCGTTTGCTCGGAACATCTTACTCTGGGTAAAGCCACTCCTGGTGAATCAGCCATGGAGGCTTGAAGATCCTGCTGATGGTGCCGCAGACGAGGTTACCCCGCAAGTGGCATATATGAATCTGAGAAGAGCACTTGTGAACTTGAGTCGCTCCGAGTTGCCTGATTCATTTTTTGTTGCTGCTCGATGCGTTTTTGACCTATGCACCAAACAAAGCCTCCATGTCAGGATATTTCTGTTCATGATAGCAAACTCAGACCTCCACGACAACCAGATAAAGACTTCAATCGGACCAACTCCATGCGCCTTGTAAAATCGGATTGTAATACAGTGTACCCCAAATCCCAAGCGGAACGGAACCTCACAGCTAAAATTACTTTGCAGTCCAGCATTGTTTTTCTGGTTGAGAAAACATATCCCTCATTTGAGTGCGGCCTGGACGGTCTCAACCAAACGCGGGGATGTCCTTTTTTCTGGAAGGCTTATCAGCATTGTTACAACGGGCGTTGTAGGTTTCCTCTTCCTTCTGAATCCAAGCGTTTGCCTTGCATCTCACTACCAGAAAGCCTTTCACCAATCCGTCCCGATCAGGTTCAATGCTCCCTGTGCGGTGAAACAGTTGTCTTGCATTTTTTGGGGGGGCGTAAATAATTTGTCTACCAGTTCAACAACCCTCAATTGATCGCAGATCCAAGGTGAGAGGCGGAACGATGTGCTGCGAGATATTTGCCAACAGGCGCGCCACATTGAGAACTATCATTTGAGCAATGGGCACACAATACATGCCAGGATTTCACAGGCCGATCGCAGGCAGATGGAAGAACCCATTCCATCTACGTATGTCAACCTTGAGACGAGCGAGATCAGAAGTGAAGATGCGATGTCTGGATCCTTTGTTCACACTGAAATGACCAGAGACGCTCTATCTGTGAGTGCCCACACGCAAATCACCAGTGAAGACAATCCCAGGCAGGAACTGATGAACCTTTTGAGGTGGCATGTGCGCGATGAGGACCAGGCTTGGGAATTGCTGGAAGAAATGGTGCGGCGAGGGTATGTTGTTGCCCCGACACCAATAGAGTGCAGGTCTGAGAACCATGAGTTGGTAGACCAACCGGAGGAGATTCCCCAAGACTGTCCGAATGCTTTTCCAGCCCCAGCGGTAGACCAATTAGAGCTGATTCCGCAAGACCCAGCGGCAGACAGTAGGGAAGCCAGTCCACAAGCTCTTCCAGATGCAGCAGTGGACCCAGCAGAGGAAATTCTCCAAGCTGGTCCAAGCCCTCTTCCGGCTACAGTGGCAAACCAACCGGAGCAAATTACGGAATGCAGTCCACAATCTCTTCCAGCACCAGCGGCAGACCAAGCGAAGGAGATTCAACAAGACGGTCTGAGCCCTTTTCCGGCTCCAGTGGGAAACCAACCAGAGGAAATCGCGGAACATAGTCCGCAAGCTCTTCCAGATGCAGCAGTGGCTCCAGCAGAGGAAATTCCCCAAGCTGGTCCAAGCCCTCTTCCGGCTACAGTGGCAAACCAACCGGAGGAAATTGCGGACCTATACAGTCCACAAGCTCTTCCAGCACCATCGGCAGATCAGGTGGAGAAGATTCCACAAGACGGTCCGAGCCCGATTCTGGCTTCACCAGCGGACCAACCAGAGGAAATTGCGGAATGCAGTCCACTAGCTCTTCGAACACCAGTGGTAGACCAGCCAGAGCACACTTGGGGAGGCCGACCACACGCTCTTCCAGCAGAGATTCTGCAAGGCGGTCGGAAAGCTTTTTCAACCCGCGCGGATATCCGACCAGAAGCTGACCAAGCCTTGCATTTGGCAGGCCAGTTTAGTCAGTTGTCCTTTGTCTTGGCGCTGCCCCTATTGCTCAAGAAGAAAGCAAAAACATATGCTTGCGAAACAATGCTGCATTTTGCGTCTCAGAAGGGACACCGGTCAGCGGTATGTTGGTTGCTTAACGCAGGAGCTAACACCGAAGCTACTACAGCAGCTGGCAA